ATTTGCTGACCAGGGCCTCTCAGAGGGGCCCGTGTATGGCAGAAGGGTTGAAGCTGCTAAGGGGCCCTTCTGTGGAGGGCCTGGGTGAGGGGAGCGAGGGTGGGCGGCGGTCTCTGCAGACCTCCCGCCCACTCGCGGGCTCTGTGTGGCTGGGCTTCTCCTGACACTGCTTCTCATTAGCTTTGGTCATTGTGCCTCGATCACCCTCTCGGGGAAAGGCTTAAGTAAAGATCCAGTTCCCACCCCCAGATGCTGGCTGCCAGGAGTTTTCCTTTCCACAGCCCTCCCCCAAGACAGACCACAAGAGCCTCCAAGCAGCACGGTTGTCCTGGTGCTGACAGCACAGCCTCGCCCAGTGTGCCTGGCGTGGCTCTGCCCGCACTGTACTGGAGCAGGGCTTGTGGGGGCCAGCAGGACAGCAGGAGCATCAGCCATCAGCGCTGCACAGGAGCCAGGCCAGGTGAGTGCTGCCGAGTGGGTGCCTGCCTGCAGGCCTCCTGCTTCCTTGGCCAGCTCTGCCCAGCTCACTTCTGCCCTGCTGGCCTTCCAGCAGGGTGTCCAGCCAGCCAAGGGTTGCAGGAATGAAGGTGGAGGCGCTGCTGCAGCTGGAGCCATCCAGGTAACCCTTCCGGGGCTCTACTGGCTCTCCAGGCTCCCTGGGCCCCTTCGTAGGCTGTTTCAGGAGAGGAGCTCCCAGGTGAGGACAGGGGGGCAGCATTCCCCTCATTTGCCGGCCTTTTTCCTTAACTCCTGGACCAGCCTCCCACATGTCATCAGCAGGATGGGAAAGCTGGAGCAGGTGGACGTCAACCTTTTCTGCCTGGTTGCCACAGACTTTTACAGACACCAGATAGAGGAGGAGCTCGACCGCAGGGCCTTCCAGTCTGTGTTTGAGGTGGTTGCAGCTCCAGGAAGCCCATATCACCGGCTGCTGACCTGTTTACGAAATGTCCACAAGGTCACCACCTGCTGAGCGCCATGGTGGGAGAGACTGTGAGGCGGCAGCTGGGGCTGGAGCCTCCAGAAATCTGCGCCCTGTGCCCTGCCTCCACCGAGCCAGCTTGGTCCCTGTGGGCTTCCGCACATGCCGCGGGCGGCCAGGCAACGTGCGTGTCTCTGCCATATGGCAGAAGTGCTCTTTGTGGTACAGTGGCCAGGCAAGGAGTATCTGCAGTCCCGGTGGGGCTGAGCCTGAGGCCTTCCAGAGAGCAGGAGCAGCTGTGCTGCACGCCATGTGGGTGACCAGGTCCTTTCTCCTGATACTCACCTGTTGGGTGTTGCCAGGCTGCAGCTGCTCTTGCATCTGGGCCGGAAGTCCTCCCTCCTGCAGGCTGGCTGTTGGCCCCTCTGCTGTCCTGCAGTAGAAGGTGCCGTGAGCAGGCTTTGGGAACACTGGCCTGTGTCTTCCTGGTGGGGTGTGCATGCCACGCCCTGTGTCTGTATGCACAGATGCCATGGCATGTGCTGGGCCAGTGGCTGGGGGTGCTAGACACCCAGCACCATTCTCCCTTCTCTCTTTTCTTCTCAGGATTTAAAATTTAATTATATCAGTAAAGAGATTAATTTTAATGTAACTCTTTCTATGCCCGTGTAAAGTATGTGAATTGCAAGGCCTGTGCTGCATGCGACAGTGTTCGGGGAGGTGGGCAGGGCCCCTGGCCACGCTCCCTCTCCTGTAGCCACTGGCATAGCCTTCCTGAGCACCCGCTGACATTTCCGTTGTACATGTTCCTGTTTATGCATTCACAAGGTGACTGGGATGTAGAGAGGCGTTAGTGTGCAGGTGGCCACAGCAGGACTAAGGACAGGCCCCCACTGTCCTAGGGGCGTGCTCGCCTGCAGCCCCTCCTTCTCGGGCACAGACAACTGTTGTTCTCCACCCACTTAGGGACAGCAGCCTCCCTGTCAGCTGAGAAGGCCAGCCCTCCCTGGCTGTGAGCAGCCTCCGCTGTGTCCAGAGACATGGACCTCCCACTCCTGTTCCTTGCTAGCCCTGGGGTGGTGTCTGCCCAGGAGCTGGCTGGCCGGTGTTGGGATCTGCCATTCCATGGATGCATGCCCCAAAGGTGTCACTGAGCTGTGTTTTGTCTGAGCCTCTCTTGGTCAACAGCAAAGCTTGGCGTCTTGGCACTGTTAGTGACAGAGCCTGGCATCCCTTCTGCCCCCGTTCCAGCTGACATCTTGCACGGGGACCCCTTTTAGTCAGGAGAGTGCAGATCTGTGCTCATTGGAGACTGCCCCACTGCCCTGTCAGAGCCGCCACTCCTAACCCCAGGCCAGGTCCCTGGACCAGCCTCCTGTTTGCAGGCCCAGAGGAGCCAAGTCATTAAAATGGAAGTGGATTCTGGATGGCCGGCTGCTGCTGACATAGGAGCTGGATTTGGGAGCTCTGAGATGGGGCAGGAGCTCTGCTTCCTCAGCCCTTGAGGCGAGCCAGGCGAGGTTGGCGACTGTCATGTGGCTTGGTTTGGTCATTGCCCGTTGATGTTTTGGGTATTGAATATGGTAAGTGGAGGAAATGCTTTTCTGGAGTCTGTGCAGGTGCTGCCTTGAGACCCTCAAGCTTCCACCTGTCCCTCTCCTATGTGGCAGCTGAGGAGCAGCTGACATGTGGACTTGTGTGCTGCCCACATACATGAGGGGGCGCTGAAAGGGAGCCCCTGCTCAAAGGGAGCCCCTCCTCTGAGCAGCCTTTGACAGGCCTGTATGAGGCTTTTCCCACCAGCTCCCAACAGAGGCCTCCCCCAGCCAGGACCACCTCGTCCTCGTGGCAGGGCAGCAGGAGCGGTAGAAAGGGGTCTGATGTTTGAGGAGGCCCTTAAGGGAAGCTACTGAATTTTAACAAGAAAACCACCATTCTTCCGTTTTGGTTGGGGGCTCCTGTTTCTCATCCTAGCTTTTTTCTGGAAAGCCTGCTAGAAGGTTTGGGAATGAGGGGAAAGTTCTCAGAACCGTTGCTGCTCCCCACCCACCTACCCTGCAGGTTATGTCAACAGCTCGGAGACAGAAGTATGGCAGGCCAGATGTTGTTCCTGCTAGATGTTTACATTTGTAAGAAATAACACTGTGAATGTAAAACGGAGCCATTCCCCTTGGAATGCATATCGCTGGGCTCAACACAGAGTTTGTCTTCCTTTTGTTTACCACATGAGCTAAAACAGTCCTTAGCAAGGGGCTCAGAACACCCCGCTCTGGCAGTGGGTGTCCCCCACTCCCAAAGGCCTGCCTGTGTGCTCCAGAGATGAATATGAGCTCATCAGTAAAACGACTTCACCCATGCGTAAGTCAAGCATACGTGCTCGTGCGTATGGACACACCTGCCATTTTACATACGCACATCTCAAGACAGAGACGCATGGCCTCTAAGAGCGCCCGTGTCGGTTCTTCCTGGAAGTTGACTTTCCTCCGACCTGCCAGGTAAAGTTAGCTGTGTGACAGGCGTCCAGGCGCAGGGCTGGGTCAGAGCAGGGCTCATTCATGGCTCACTAGGATCCCACCGGAGAAAACGGTCTCCGTATCAACTCTGCTGAAGGGAGGAAGACTTCGCCACGTTCCTAAAAACCTATGGCAAGCACCAATCATATTATCCGAATTCTGTTGAAAATGTGATTAATTTGGTTGTCAAGTTTTGGGGGTGGGCTGTGGGGAGACTGCTTTTGTTTTGCTGCTGGTAATATCAGGAAAGACTTTAATGAAACCAGGGTAGAATTGTTTGGCAATGCACTGAAGCGCGTTTCTTTCCCAAAACGTGCCTCCCTTCTGCTGCGGGCCCAGCTGAGTCTGTGTAGGTGACGTTTCCAGCTGCCAAGTGCTCTTTGTTACTGTCCACCCCCATTTCTGCCAGCACATGTGTCCTTTCAGGAGGAAACGTGAAGCTGAAACCCCTCCAGACACCCAGAATGTAGCATCTGAGAAGGCCCTGTGCCCTAAAGGACACCCCTCGCCCCCACCTTCATGGAGGGGTCATTCCACAGCCCTCGGAGCCGATGAACAGCTCGTCCTCTTGGAGCTGAGCTGAGCCCCCCACGGAGCTCGGGACGGATAGTAAACAGCAATAACTCGGTCTGTGGCTGCCTGGTGGGTGGAAGTTCCTCCCCGCGAGGGGCGCAGTGAGGTTGGTTCTGTGTGTCTGGGGTGGAGTCAGCCCACTCTTGCTACCTGTGAGCATCCTGCCCAGCAGACATCCTCACCCGGCTTTGTCCCTCCCCGCTTCTTCCCTCTGCGGGGAGGACCCAGGACCACAGCTGCTGGCCAGGGTAGGCTTGGAGCTGTGCTCCGGAGGGGCCACCTGTGGGAGTGAGAAGAAGGAAGATCTTGAGAGCTGCCGAGGCACCCTGGAGAGCTCAGGATGGTCCAGGCGAGAAGAGGACACTCGCTCGCCAGGCCTGGGCCTCCTGGGAAGGAGGGAGCCGCTCAGAGTGCCGCATGACAACTGAAGGCAACCTGGAAGGTTCAGGGGCCACTCTTCCCCCGTGTGCCTGTCACGCTCTGGTGCAGTCAAAGGAACGCCTTCCCCTCAGTTGTTTCCAAGAGCAGAGTCTCCCGCTGCAATCTGGGCGGTGATTGCCAGCCTTGGAGGATCGTGGCCAATGTGGACCTGCCTACGGAGGGTGGACTCTGACCCAAGTGGGGCCTCCTTGTCCAGGTCTCATTGCTTTGCGCTGTGGTCAGAGGGACTGTCAGCTGAGCCTGAGCTCCCCTGGAGCCAGCAGGGCTGTGATGGGCGAGTCCCGGAGCCCCACCCAGACCTGACTGCTTCTGAGAGCAAAGGGAAGGACTGACGAGAGATGTATATTTAATTTTTTTAACTGCTGCAAACATTGTACATCCAAATTAAAGGAAAAACATTGAAACCATCAGTTGTTGCTGTGTGAGGCTTGCTTTGCTTCGTGAGAACCTAGACCTTGCTGAGCTGGAGTCTTAGGAAACAGTCTCCTAAGTGCTTCTCCAGCAGGGGCAGAAACTGTCCCACCAGCTAACATCTGACATTACGGAGGGTCCCGCAGGCAGCTGCCAGCAAGGACAAGCCCCGTGTTTTCTGTAGCCAGGGATGAGGAAGTGGCCCCAGGGGCCTGGCTGGGTGCTGCTTCAAGGGCCTTCGCAAACCACAGTACAGGTGGTCTTCCTGCACTGCAGATGGGAGCTGTGGGAGCTGCTGGATCCTTCATGGTCAAGTGACATCATAAGCTTATATGACACACACAAGCCTCAGGACTTGGCCCATGGCACTGGAGCAGGTCATCAGGCCCAGCAGACTAGAGCTGTGTTCTCACAGGGCCCACCACCCTTCCACTTCCTTGGCCATTGACACCTGTGTCCCTGACCCAGCTGCTCCCAGGTACCCCCCAAAGCAGCTGGCACATCCCACCTCCGGTGTGGCCTGGGCTGCTATGTGTCCGCAGGGCCTGCCCCATCTGTTCTAGCTTGTTTCTCCTGTCTGAACCAGCGCCTACTCCAAGAAGCCTCTGCTCAGCCCAGCCTCTGGGAAGCCTTGGTGGTCGGTGGTGTAGTCATCGTGGGATGCAGAACAAAAACCTGCAAGAACAAAACTCTGTGGCTTCGTCTGGTGCAGGGTATTTAGTTAATGTTTGCTGAGGTCCTGTCTGGTTCTGGCGAATGGACAGGGGTCGTCCACCCATTCTTTCCCTGCTCTGCTGTCCGTACCAGGGGAGACGGGGGCCTGCTGGCCGAGGAGGCAGCTCCTGCTGCCTGCTGTCCTTAGGTCCGTGCAGGGACCCCCTTTCTCTGAGCAGGATGGGGATCAGTCTGCCAGAGGGATGTGGTGGACAGGCCCAGCCAGGTAAAAATTTCCCCCAGTTGCTGAAAGCATTTGGGGCGGGGCATGCCACTTGAGCTCCCTAAATGTGTCTCATAGGTGACACTGCTCCAGGGCCCCCCAGGGGCCTCTCCCTTCAGAGCTGCCTAAGTTCTGGTCACTTCAGAGAAATGGAGCACTCCCTTCTCCCTGGTCCAGGTGTGGACAGCCAGACCCTTGGCACACCTAGCACACCTGGCATGGCTGGTAATTTCAGAAAGAAAAGGGGCCGGGGTCCAGTGGGAAGCAGTGGCGAACTCCTCATGCGTGGGCTTTGCGATCCCTCCCCCTGCCACGGCAGAGCTGCCCTCAGCACAGCCTTCCTCCCCTTGCCCCTAGCCCCGAAGGCTGTGCTCTGTGCCTTCAGTGGTATTTGGTTTTGGCTGCTACTGGCTTTGTTCCAAAGAGGATCTGGAAGTCGCTTCGCCTGTGTGGAGCGTGGAGCACTGTGAGTCAGATGAGGGAAGTAGCCAGGGGGAGGTGAGTACCAGGCAGAGCCGCCACAGAAGGCACTGGGTAGGGGCCTTGCCTCCACGTGATGTGACACGGCCAGCCGAGGACAGAGGAAGCCCCGTTCCTGGGGGTGTGGGGTGCACCCCTCAGGGAAGCCTGCAGTGGGGCCCGAGGAAAGGCGTTCTCCGCGAGCCCACGAGTCTGCTCTGTGAGCACCGTGACAGTGCCCGTGGGCAGAGGTGGGCCCGGCCTCGTGTCGTCACCAGGACCTCTTTTGGGAAACCACGTGGTCATCCCTTGTGGGTCCCCCGGCTTCTGCAGTCCCAGTGGCCTGGCTGCCTGTTGGGCAAGTGGCTTGAGCCGCCCAGAGGGCCCAGCCCTGTTGGCAGCCACGTCCTCTGGAGGCCCTGCCGGTGGGGCTGGCTTTCTCTACCCCACACCAGGCCTCCAAGTATACTGGTCGGGGGTGTCTGGGCCCTGGGTGGGCCCCATGGACCTGTGAGGTCAGGGTCGGGGCATCCCTGGAGGCAGAGGGCTTAAAATTGTGGGTTTGGGTTCCCCTTGTGTGCACAGGCCCCCGCCCTCTGCACTTCATCAGGCAGCTGGCCCCAAAACTGCTCGGACAGGCTGGTCCTGAGGTGGATCCTGGCCCCTGTACCCTCCGGAGAGCCCACCTGCCCAACCTCCCACCCTGCCCCAGTGGCAGCAGTGTCGGCCACATCCTTCCCTTCCTGGCCTCAATTGCTCTGGGGAAGTCCAGGCTCCTGAGCCTGCCCAGGGGCCCCCATGATTTGGGCCCAGGACTCCACGTGGTTCTCTGCCTTCACCCAAGCCCTGAACTCCTCGGCTGCCAAATCCCCCGCCATCTGCACAGGCTGTGCTCACCACGGCTGCTCCTGAAAGGTGCCCCTCGGTGGGACGCCCACCTCCTCTCTGGGCTTCTGTGTTTAGGAGCCCTGCTGCCCCCTCCCTTGGTCAGTCCCCGTGTCCTCCTGGCCTGTCAGGCAGGGCAGAAAAGCCACCCAGAAATGCTGAGTGGGATGAGAGTCTGGCGGGGCCCAGCCTCATTATTTAGAAGGGATAGAGGCCTAGGCGGCATGCTCCTAGCCTGAGCACAGCAGGGCCCTGCCTGCATGCCAGGTCTCCACCAGGGACAGCTGCTGCCGAGGCCTGACCTGCCCCTTCTCCCTCAGGTGCCGCTGGTTGCCCAGCCCCTGGCCCTAGGAGACCCCGAAGCGACCAAGGGTCCCAGCAGGCCACGCAGCTGTGCCAAGGTATGAGCCTTTCCCCAGCAGGGGACAGATGCAGGGACCCTCCCAGGCAGGGGCAGCTGGGTGCCTGGTACTGCCATCTGCTGCCTGCCCAGTTCTTATCCTCATATTGGAGGTCAATGTGAGGGCTCTGCCTCAGGAAAGGCCACAGAGCTTGCCCTGTCCAGGGTCTCCCATGTGCACTGAGCCCAGGAAGAGAGGGTTGGAATTGAGCCTTTTACCCTGGAAATGCTGCCTGGAGGATGGTGCGAGTATGGGGTGGCACCCTGCCAGGCAGGGCTCTGTCTCCCTGTGCCCACTGGAACTCGGGCAGGCAGGGGTATAGGTGCTTCTTCTAGAGCCGTCAGGTGAGGCCCCCAGCAGTGGTGGTGGTGCCCACTGGCCAGCAGCTCCCCCTTCAGCCAGGACAGTAGGCCTGATGCTGTCTCCAGCAGCTCCAAGTGGATTTGTGGAAGAGGGTAGGGGGCAGGGTTCTGGGAGGGCTGTGCCCCCTTAGCCAGCACCATGCTGGATGAGATAGTCAGATCCTGTTACCCCTGTTGTAGAGGTGAGGAAATAGGCTAGTGGGGAGGACATGACTAAGGTCCATGCTGAGTCACTAGAGCTGCACCCAGAACCCACTGCTGGGACCCCATGACTTTCTGCATACCCCTTGTGCTGGGAGATGCCAAGAGATGCTGGGAGCCAGCCCCACCTCTGCCCTTGGAGTCATGGCTACGGAAAGGACATTCGGACAGGTCTCTGACCTCACTGGAAAGGGCCGAACACTGTTCCTGAGCAGCTGGGGCTTCCTAGAGGAGGTGGGCCTTCTAGTCACTCCTTCATCTGCAGGCACTCCACAGAGCTCTCTGCGCCAGCCCCCAGCACCAAGGGCTGAACTTAGCAGAGGGGGGCCTTGTGGGCCCCTCCCATGCCCCGTGCCAGGCAGTAGGGATGATGTCTCCAGAGGCCCAAATGGAAGGGGCTGGACTAGTCTCACAGGGCTGATAGTAGGGCCAGGCCTGGACCAGGAACCCGGTGTAGGGGTGCAGAGACCCCTCTGAGTCCCTCACACATCCCTGGGGCCCTCCGCATACACTTTCCTATCCTGACTGTGGGCAAAAGGGAGCCCCAGGTCACCCTCCCCATGCTGGGCACCCACAGTGGGGCCAGGTACCCCCGCCACGCCCCTGCCCTGTCCTTCCCCTGAGAACCTTAGTTCCACCTCCAAGATGCCTCAGAGGACAGCAGGGGCGGCAGCAGAGGCTGAGATGCCTCCCCACTCCAGGCTCAGCTGCCCTTCCTGCGGCAGCCCACACCTGAGAGTCTCCTGCAGTTGGTCAGGCCTGAGGAGGGCAGGGGGATACCCGCTGTCCCTCTGCTGACCACAGTGGCGTTTAGCCTGGGTACCGCGTCCAGCACGGCGCATCCTGCACAGGTGCTGTGGGCTCCACAGAGCCCTGCCTGACTTGCATGTGTTATGTTTTGGGTGCTGATGCCTTTGGGTGGGCACTTCTCTGAGCAGAACCCCCAGGCCACACGCTCCTATTCCGCTGCACCTGGGGCTCTCGGCAGGCTGTGGTCCCCTAGAAGCCTGGGGGCATCTCAGTCCTCAGGGCCCGCTCCGCAGCCTGGGCCTCGAGCCCCATCTCCACATGCCGTGCTGAATCTGGCTGCCCATTTGCTTCCTGCGTACCCAGGCTGTGCCCTGCCATGCCCATGGCTCTTCCCAGGAGTGCCCTGTGGCCTCCTCCTGGCTTGCTGGGCTGATTCCCTCCTGTGTCTCAAACAGAGCGCACTTTGCCGTCCCTGCTATCCTCGCCAGCCGGTGCCAGAGGCCTGTGTCTGTGTACCCTGTGACTGCACCTCTGGGCAGGGCCTGGCTCTGACCAATCTGGGCTTCCAGTGTCCACGGACCTGAGGCCCAGGGCGCCTGGGTGCTGGAGCAAGAGAAGCAAAAGGAGCAAAGGGTGGGGATGTGGGGTTCTTGTGAGGACCCAGTCCTAGGACCCCAGGACCAGGAGACCCAGGGGTCCCGGGGCCCAGCCCCATTTCAGCCTGGCAGAGGCCTTCTGAGGGAGCTTAAGGTCCCACAGCCCAGGACTCCCACCAGGGCCAGTGGCCAGCATTGGGGGACTCAGCCTCCTCATCTCCTGTCCTTTCTGTTTCTCCCACCTTTTGCCCCTTTTCTCCTTGCCTGGTCCCACCCGAGTCCCCCTCTTGGCCTGCATGAGCCGGTACGGCACTGAACTGGGGGCCCATCGCCTGGACGGCGGTGGGAGGCAGGGCTGGGAGCTGGGCCGCTGGGTTTGGGCCTGGCCCGCTCGCTGCAATATTGATGGCCCGTCAGTGCGGCCCTGATTCCTGCGCTTTCAGTTAAAAGGTTTCTGTTGTTGTAGCTTATGCAGTTGCTCTGTTGCTATGGAAACGTGACATCAAAATGACGTTTCCCGTTTAAAAGCTTTTAACTAAATTCCTGCCTGTCAGATGTAGGCCCCATTTTGAGCGTGGAGCTGCCTTCGAGCGAGCGTGAGCGGCGCCTCCCGCCCATGGTGCGTGGGGCCGGGCCGGGGGCCTCGCTGAGCCGCTCTCTCACCCCCCAGGCGCCTGGAGCATGGCGGCGGCCGAGGGGCCCGGCTACCTGGTGTCTCCCCAGGCGGAGAAACACCGGCGGGCCCGCAACTGGACCGACGCCGAGATGCGCGGCCTCATGCTGGTCTGGGAGGAGTTCTTCGACGAGCTCAAGCAGACCAAGCGCAACGCCAAGGTGTACGAGAAGATGGCCAGCAAGCTCTTCGAGATGACCGGCGAGCGCAGGCTGGGCGAGGAGATCAAGATCAAGATCACCAACATGACCTTCCAGTACAGGTGGGCGCGCGCGCAGTGTGGGCCCCCCAGGACAGGCGGCACCGGGCGTGGCGGCCGCTCCCGGCTCTCTCGGAGCTCTGACTCTGGAGGGTGTGTGGGTCCTGGCCTGCCTGTCGGTCTCCTCTGGCCGGGTTTGGGCAGAATCCCACGGGGTGAGATGGGGCCCACGGAAACCGTGTGTGCAGCCTTCCATTGGGGAAGTGGGGAAACTGAGGCCCAGCAAGGGCAGGAAACTGCTCTAAGAACTGAGGGGTAGCAGGGGTGGGGCTGGTACTGGGCAGAGGCCAGGATGGCTCCCAGGACGTATGGGTGGTCTGGGCCCTGTCCCTCGGAGGCAGCATCACTCATGGTGGTGTTCACTGACCTCACACCCTCCTCTCCCATAGGGAGGTGGCCGCTGCCAGTGCCCTCCCCGCCACCAGGCTCCCAAGCTCAGCAGGGGTTTCAGGGGCCTACTGTGCCACTGGGGAATTGAGACTGCAAGTGAGAAGGAGGCTCCGTGCTCTGCGACGTGGAACATCCACGGAGCCTCTGCCATGAGCCCGTGAGCCCCACTGGGGCTGGCCCTAGGGTTGGGGAGGGTGTTCCTAGAAATCACCAGGTGAGGCGCAGGACCGGCCAGCGCGTGGGCAGGGCTTACTGTGCCAAGAAGAAAGAGATGGAGCCGTGCCCTGGCCCAGGACTCCCAGCGTGGGGGCTCCCGGCCTGGCCCCAGCTCTGCTCCCGCCACACAGCAGGTGGGCCCTTTCCTGCCCGGGCAACCTGCAGGGAAGGCCGGAGGGGACCACCCAGCCAAGGAGGCACTGGCACCTAGGAGGGGACAGCTGTGGTCCCACACACCCAGCATCTTAAAGTGTGTGGGTCCCCAGCCCATTAGGATGGGGTCACGGGTGGGCAGGGGTCATGGTGGGGTGAAAGTGTCAGGCACAGGTGGGGTCACGGGTACGGTGAGGGTCTTGCAGGGTGTGAAGGTCATGGGTGTGCGGTGAAGGTCACAGGTGTGGGGTGATGATTTTGGGTGTGGGGAGGGTCTCGCACAGAGCAAGAGTGGCAGCAAGAGCTAGAAGCCGCAGGGGGAGAATGGCGGCCGAGAGCACCCGGCCCTGTGGGTGGCCTGGACGGGGCTGGGCCTGGGGCTACGGGAGAGCCTGCCAGCTTCCAGGATGGGAGGGGCTGCCCCGGGGGCGCCTCACGCAGCTGCTCCACCTCCAGGTCAGGCAGGTGAGCCCGGGGCAGAGAGGCTGGCAGCACCTGAGCCACTTGTGGGAGAGGCAACCCCCACTGCCCCCGCAGGCGAGGAGCCAGCCTCCAGCACAGCAGAAGGGGAGCCCCAGTCCCCGGCCCTGGTAGGAGCAGGGAAGAGGCCCAGCAAGGCCCCGGACAGACCGCCAGGCTGTGGGGTCTCCGCTTTCAGTTGTGTTGATTTGATTTTTTCTGAGCCTTGAAGGAGGGGTCCAGGGCCTGGCCCTGCCCAAAGGCCCCTAGCCAGGCCACAAAGCCGGGACCTAGGGTGCTGAGCGTGACGGATGTTGGGTTTGAGCGGCTGGCTTGCGACGTGAGGGCTGAGGTGTGAGCCTGGGTAGAGGCTCAGTGGACGCAGGCAGCTGCCCACGGTCCCACTGTTCCCGCGGCCTCACCGTTCCTGTGGCCTCCTAGCCCTGCTCAGGCACCTGGTGAGGAAGGGACACAGAGGGCGGTGGGAGGTGGCCGCGACTGGTCCAGCAGGCTCCCCTCTGACTCAGGAATTCACGGGCACCGCCTCCCCGGCTGGCTCTGCTTGGTGTCTGGCCAGGTTATTCATTATTTATGCTGAAAGCCTCTTCAGAGTCCCAGGGGAGGGTTTCTGTCTCCATTCCTGGAGGCCGGGAGATGAGGGTGCAGCAGAGTGGGGGCCTCCACTCCAGACCCTGCAGTCTGGCGGGCCAAAGGCTGCACCGGTGCACAGCACATCACGGTTGGTGAAGCACACGGCAGCCCCTCAGAGCTGCCACAGTCAGCCTTCGTTCACCGAGGGGGAAAGCTGAGGCCCAGAGCATGAGAGAACTTGCCCAAGGCCACACAATCCTTAGCAGAGGGAGCTGTGGCTGGGTGACTCGATCTTTGTCCTTTTTCTTTATACCCCCAGCCTCCCCATAGCAGAGGCTTTTGTCATTTTTTGTTTGTTTTACAAGAGCTCTTTATATATTAAGGCTGTTGGGCTGAAGAAGCCTGAGAGGGTGGCTGGTTCTGTGGAGTGTAGTTTGTTGGAGTACAGTTGGGGGCCTCCTACGCTGAGAATAGGCCTTTTCTTGTTTCTCCAAAGAGTGGGCTGGCTCAAGTAGGGCAGAGAGAGAAACCTGGGGCAGAGGTTAGGGATGGGCACCCAGTGCCCCACACGCTCTGTGCTGGTGTCTTCGCAGCCACGTGCCACCTTGGGCAGCAGCCCCTGCTCACCATCTGGCTGTGTCTGTTTGCTGGGGGCACCTCATTCAGAAGCCAGCTTATTATTTCCAGGGACCAGTAGCTACATCCTGGCAGGTAACAAGAGTAGGAGAGAGGAGATGCCCACTCCGAGCACAGGGTGGGTTTGGAGCCCGGCCTCAGGGCACTCTGTCCAAAGGCAGAGTAGGGGGTGGGCTCTGGGCCTTAGGAGGTACTGAGTCTGATGAGGCAGAGACCCCTGCCTCCCCCCCACCTTGTGGCTTCTTTCCTGGCCTGGCCAGAGCTGTTTGGCCGCCCTGGGGCCCTGTCTCCTCTGCCTTGACCTCCCAGAGGCCCAGGGGAGGCCTGGGGACTTAGCATCTCAGAAGGCAGGACCTGTCTGTGGGAGTAGGTGGGCGCAGGGGGTCCCAGTGGTAATGAGGCGTCAGGCAGTGTGGGAAAGGGCCCATCCGGCCCACCCCAGGGCCTCTGGGCAGGTCACAGGTTGTAGCGCTGGATCTAGGCTCCTGCCCAGACTGTAGGTTCAACCAAGAATGGCACGGGAGCCCAGCCTGCTGTTTGGTTTATTAAATCTGCCCTGCATCTGGGGGAGGGGCTTACTTCGATCATCCCCATGTCATTGATCTAAAAATAGAGGCTCAGAGAAGTGAATGAACCTGCCCAAGGTCACACAGCAAAGTGTGGAGATGAGATACTGACTCAGGGCTGTGGGCACTGAAGCCTGTGCTCTAACGCCAGTGGCTGTCGCGCCCTGAGGCATTCTCTCCCGAACAGCACAGTTGTTCTATTACAAAATATTATCACTATACTTATATATCTTATAATAATTATTACAATAATACCTTATTACTCTACCTTTCAAAATGACTTATTTAAAAAGCAGTATTTGCTCGTTGCGGAGAGTCTAGAAACTACAGAAAAGTAAGGGAAAAGCAATAGGACCAGCCCCAAGGTCCCAGCATGCACAGGTAACCTTAGTAATACTGGGACGTGTGCTTCCTTTTTAACATCTGAGCCCGTCTAGGTCCTGAAGCCTGGCTTCTTTCTAAGTCCAATGTCATCTTGACCCTGGAGCCTGGCCGATTTTGCTGGGGAGGCCCTTGCTGGCTGAGAGCGGCTCCGGCCTGTGCCGGCGCGGTGCGCCCCTCTGCTGAGGCTGGGCAGGCCAGGGGCTGGGCCAGCTCTGTTTCTCACCCTTGGCTCTTGTGTCTCTCGTTTCAGGAAATTAAAATGCATGACAGATAGCGAGTCCGCCCTGCCCGACTGGCCCTATTACCTAGCCATTGATGGGATTCTGGCCAAGGTCCCCGAGTCCTGTGATGGCAAACTGCCGGACAGCCAGCCGCCGGGGCCCTCCACATCCCAGACCGAGGCGTCCCTGTCGCCGCCCGCTAAGTCCACCCCTCTGTACTTCCCGTATAACCAGTGCTCCTATGAAGGCCGCTTCGAGGACGATCGCTCCGACAGCTCCTCCAGCTTACTGTCCCTTAAGTTCAGGTAGTGTGTCTGCTTGTCCTTCCCCTGCCCTGGAGTGTCTCAGCCCCCACCATTTAGAGAAAGGGACTGGGAGTGTCGAGGGCGGCGGCGGTCGCAATGGTTGCAGAGGCCGTGGCTGTGGGCAGCGCCTCCAGGGACAGCCGGCCTCAAACCAGGGCGGGCTTTAGTGTCCACAGGCAGACCGAGTTCGTCTCCCAGCTCCATCACTTTTGAGCTGCATGGAAAGTTCCTTGACTTCTCTGGCCTCAGTCTCCCTCCTATAAAATGGGGATAAATCAGTACCTTTCTCAGAGGGTGGCTGGGAGCATCGTGGGAGGGAAGACACAGCACGGGCCCGGCACACGGAGGGAGACCAAGCCCCAGACCCAAGAATGCGCCCCCTGGCCTCCCTCACCTCACACGGACCCCGCCCTCACAGGCCGGTGGCCCCTCAGCGCTGGGGAGGGTGTCAGGCTGCGCCTCATCACGTGTTGCCGTGGGGATGGCCCATCCCCTCTGCCGTCCATCCCACACTTCAGACCAGGCCTGTGCCGGCCGCGTGACTGTGCCTGCGAGATGCTCACAGGGCAGCCGGGAGCCAGGCAGCATGCGGGACAGACACCTGCGGGGTGGGCCCGGGGAGCCCAGAGAAGGTGCTTTGGAGGAGGGGACATTTGGGGTGGGCTTTCAAGGTAAAATAGAAGTTGGCCATTTGGAGGGAAGAATAGGAAGATTGTGGATTTGAGTCTCAGCTTCTCCCCTGCCCTGGTCTTCAAGTCTTTCCGTCAGGAGGTGGGGTGAGGAAGGCGTCTCCGAGGAGGGTTCCCCCAAGCTGGCACCTCCCATGCCAGGGGCTGCTGCTTGACTCAGGATTTCTCATTGAAGACCCGAGACAAAAACGCTTTTGCTGGCAGCTAGAAGGAACCAGCAGGAGGCCTGAGATTTATGGCTGTTGTTCCTGTGGACTGAGCCCAGTTCCCGGACTCAGCTGCCTGGGGCCTTGCACAGGGCTGGGGCATGGGGACTGCCCTCCCTGATCAGGACCAAAGCGCTGCGCTCCTGCCCCTGGGATTGGCTGCACCCTCCCAGCTCAGAGCAGAGTGTGGGCCAGGGGTGAGCAGGCACTGGAGCAAGGCCTTGGAGTTTGTGGGTTTTGGCAGCTCCCTGCCCTTCAGGGAGGTCTGCTGAGACCACGGGTGGCCCCTACCCCAGCAGCAGAGCGCTCAGGAGGTGCCCACAGGGCTGGACTGCCTTTACCTGCCACCTCTACCAGAGCTCCAAGGGTCTGGGGAGAGAGCCCAGGCCTCTTGTGGGCCCCACACCCTCTAGGTGCCTGTCCTCCTGCCTCTCTACCAAGGTGTGCTGGCCCCATTTCTAGGCCGCCCAGAGATTAAAGGGGCTCACATCTCAGGCCCTTCCTTCTGGGACCTCAGTTTCCCCATCTGCCTAAGGCCGGGTGGGGCTGTTGGTCTCTGGCTTCCCTACAGGTGTCCTGAGTACTCCGCACTACCCAGCACCCCTCACCCCTGCCTTCTTCTCTCCCTGGGTGTGGCCTCTCCACCCCTGGGCGTCAACTGGGGCTGAGCCCCCACCTACCCAGCTCGGTGGGTGAGGGATGCTCCCTGGCAGGATGTGCCCCTCTGCAGCCCAGAACATCCTGCCCTTTCCAGACTGAAGGGGTGTGGATTGTCCTGGGACCCTGGTCCTTGGGGTCGTCTGCTAGTTGCAAAGGATGGCAATGCCTGTGGCGTCTCTTTCTTTCTCTTCATTTTCTTTTTCTTTTTCTTTTTTTTTTTTTTTTGAGATGGAGTCTCGCTCTTGTGCAGAGTGCAGTGGCATGATCTTGACTCACTGCAACCTCCACCTCCCGGGTTCAAGCGATTCTCCTGCCTCAGCCTCCCGAGTAGCTGGGATTACAGGCACCTGCCACCATGCCTGGCTAATTTTTGTATTTTTAGCAGAGATGGGGTTTCACCATGTTGGCCAGGCTGGTCTTGAACTCCTGACCTCAGGTGATCCACCTGCCTCAGACTCCCAAAGTGCTGGGATTACAGGTGTGAGCTGCCGTGCCTGGCCACCCCTGTTACTTTCTTACTGTCAAAGGGGGTGGGTTTTGGCCCCTCCTTTGCACATGGAATATGAGACCCCGAGTAAGTGACCTGACTCCCTGGGGCCTCAGTTTCCCCATTTGCCTAGTAGGATAATTGGGAGGGTCCAGTGAGGCCCCTGGTGTGCCCAGGCTCTGTGGTCAGCATGTCCACAGCTGGCGCTGTCCTTCCAGGTCGGAGGAGCGACCGGTGAAGAAGCGCAAGGTGCAGAGCTGCCACCTGCAGAAGAAGCAGCTGCGGCTGCTGGAGGCCATGGTGGAGGAGCAGCGCCGGCTGAGCCGCGCCGTGGAGGAGACCTGCCGCGAGGTGCGCCGTGTGCTGGACCAGCAGCACATCCTGCAGGTGCAGAGCCTGCAGCTGCAGGAACGCATGATGAGTCTGCTGGAGAGGATCATCACCAAGTCCAGCGTCTAGGCCAGCAGGTGGCGGCGGCGGGGCCGGGCCACCCAGGGCAGGCCACTCAGGCCAGGCGGGCAAGGGGGCCGCCCCGTGAGAGGAGACCGCCTTCCACCTGGCCTCTGGTGGGATGTCCCTTCCGAGGTGTGTTTTGAGGAACCCCCAGGCCCTGGGGACCGTGAGGCTCCAGTCTCCAGCATGAACGCCCTTCCTCAGACACAGGCCAGGGCCTCTGGGGGTCACTCTGAGTAAGAACATCCTAGAGCCACTCTCCAGTGTCGTTACTATCAATAATACTTGACATGGCTTTGATATTAAATGTATACTTTTTCATTCTTGCCTGGACCGCACGGTTTGCTGTTGCTGACTTGGTGAGGATGCCCTGATGGATGGATCCCAAAAATGAAAGCAGGTGCAAATGGGGCGGGGCAGGCTGGAGCTGGGGGGAAAGCTCTCTCCTGAAGGGAACCTGTGTCCTTCCTCACCAGGACCTCTGCGTCTGTCCTTACATGGCCTCCCACACCTGGTGAAAACCCCGGGGAGCCTTCCGGGAGGCTTTTATTCAGCTCTGTTTGGAGCATCAGGTGTTTCTACTGCCTCCTTAGCAATGACACCAATAAAAGCCGTAACACCTGCTCGCATGCACGGCCCTGCTGGATGTTTTGGGTTCTGGAGATGTCGTGGTAGATGACACAAAGGCCCTGGCCTCTTGGAGTTTATGCTACCATGCGGGGAAGACCAATGGGTCAGTAGAGAAATGCTTGCAGGTTGTGATAAGTGCTGGAAGGGCGGGGTTGGCATGAGGACACGGAACCAGCCTTACATGGAGCTGGGAACAGTGGCCACACAGGGAATCGCTGGTGTGAAGGCCCAGAGGCAGAGGACACTGGAGCAAGCCCCAGGAGCAGCCAGGAGGCTGGTCACCAGCAGCCAGGCCACGGAGGCCGGTGCAGCTCGTGGGGAGGCATGTTCGTGTTTTTCAAGCTTAGTGGGAGGGTTTTGGCTAGTGCAGCTCTGGGTCTGACATCCGCGGGGGACAGGGGGGCGGTGGAGCAGCCACAGCTGCAAGCTCACCTCACTGCCAGCCCTTCCACCAGTTGCAAACTCTTTCCAGAAGCTCCAGCTTTCCAAAAGTCGAATTCTTTATAAGCCTCCTTGGCCAGGACTTGGGCATTTCTTGCCCTGGCTGCCAAGGAGCCTGGGGCCAGGTGTGTTTGAATCACCTCCTGGAATTAGGCAAGTGGCCGCCCAAATAGAAGGTTCTTGGCAGGTGGGTCGGCAGGTGGACAGCATGGTTTGACTCAGGGTTCAGAAAATCTCCCTCCGGCTGCCAGGTGAGCAGGCCATGGAGACAGCTGCGGAGACAGGTGCGGAGGCAGGCGTGGAGGCGGGCATCCTGCCAGGCAGTGCTGTGGTCATCCTGTGACAGGCAGCAGCAGATCATCCAACCCTCTAGGGGGTCTGGAGGTCAGCCAGGCAAGGGAGTAGCTTGGGCTCCACTGGGCGTGGCAGCAGCCTGTGGACCATGGTGGTGTGGAGGATGATGCCCTAGGCCTGCTTGTGTGAAGGAGAGGCCGGTGTGCTCTGTGGTGCCCAGAGGGGAGCTGGGCAAGAAGGATTCACTTTGCTCTGAGGGTCCTGGAGCTCCCACCCTCCTCAGCGATCTCCCCAGAGCCTGTGTGACGAGGACTCGGCCCACGTTGCTGTGGGATGAGAGGCAGAGTGTTGTGAGGGTTTAATGAGCGGCAGCAGTGGTGGGAGGAGGGAACAGCAGCCAGCACTGCGGTGCCAGTTTCCAGATGCCAGATGACGCCGCTGACCCTGTGGTTGGGAAGAGATGCACAGAGCCGGCCTTTGCAAGCCAGTGTGGCTGCCACAGCGCCTGCTGAGAAGCAGAAGGAAGGGTGGCCCCAGGAGGACGGAGGATGCGGGCACATCTAGTGATGCGGGCCTGAGTTTTAGGAGCTTTTGCTCTGGCCAGTTTCCAGCTCAGGGACCCACCCACCTCATCGTCAAGACACTGCCCAAGAAATCATTTGCTTAACAAACACACTGGGCTCCCACTGGGCACCTGTGCCACCCTAGATGCTGGGAACCCAGCCATGACACAGGCACCTGCCCCCGGCTGCTGACCGCTGAGGCTGGCTAGCAGCTCCCACGGGGCCAGTGCGGGGTTCCCGAGCCTCTTAACAGGGAGCCAGCCCCAAGCCCTCGAGAGGGAAGGGTGCCCGTGGCCCTGGCAGGAAGGTTAGGCTGGACGCTCCCGCAAGACGTAGCAGATGGAGGTTTCAAATGATGTAGCGACTTCTTTGCCTTGAAACCGCTCTAGAGTCAGCCATGACGCACTGGGACTGCAGTAGCTGCCAGGCATCCGGGAAGGCACAGCGCGACGCGCTGCTGTGCTTGGGTTAGAAGTGGTTTTGGTCTGTTTTCTTCTCGCCCTCTCTAATCAGAGTCGGTGATTCATGCCCCTTTCCACCACCTTAGAGAAGGGGCAGGCACTGCCTGTGTTCCTCCAGGCTGCAGCATCTGAGGTCGGCACAACTCAGCTGTGGAATCTCCTGGGGTTGGTGCCGTTCATCAGCAGCGTGTCCTTAACAACCTTCTGATTTCTTCCTTAGTTGCTGGTTCATTAAGGAGGAAAAAAATGATGATGTTAGCCATTGCTAAAATATTTGATAAGATCCAGCAAAGCAGCGGGTTAACACCGAAAACCAAAACCAAGAGCCAGGCAGGCGTGCCTGCTTTTCACCTGTAGTATTTCATGTTGTTTTGACGTTTTTAGCTGATGCATTAAGATACATAAACAAAAGAAGCAGGATGAGAGATGAAGAAAGTGGAGGTACCTTTGTTTTCAGATCTCATTTTTGTATACCCGGAAAGCCAAATGTACAAAAGACTGGGAGCTCTTTAAACCAGCTGAAGCTTGTTGAAAATAACAATGAAGAAATGTCCCATTCAGAGTTGGAGTGAATTTAACCAGAAGGAACAGGACCCATACTGAAGAGAACTATGCAGTCTTATTGAGCTGGAGAAACTTAGCACACTCCCGAAAGCTCCAAAGTCAATGTCATCATTTTATTACTGTCATTCCAGCCATACTCTCAATAATGCCGCTTTTTGGTTTTGAAGTGGACACGATGATGTTTACATTCATATGAAGAAAGAACAGGGCCAAAAGTCCAAGGCCAGTCAGCGTGAGAAGACCGCTCGGCCTCCCTTGGAGTCGCGGAGTTGGAACCGCAGACTGAGATCATGTGGCTGCTGGAGGCCAGGACGAACATCGGGAAATGGAGACTCCTGCGATGCTGGTGGGACGTGGCATAGCCACTTCCAGGGACAATTTGTGTCCCCTCCTAAAGCTGAAGAAACATGTTTCCTCCCCTGGGCAGTGCCACTCCTAGACAGGTCACCCTGCAGCAGCTGTCCTCAAACTGAGGACCCCTCAACACTCCTAAAAATCATTAAAAGTGGGCCAGGCACGGTGGCTCACGCCTGTAATCCCAGCACTTTGGGAGGCCGAGACAGGTGGATCACGAGGTCAGGAGATGGGGACCGTGCTGGCTAACACGGTGAAACCCCGTCTCTACTAAAAATACAAAACTTAGCCGGGCATGGTGGTGGGCGCCTGTAGTCCCAGCTACTTGGGAGGCTGAGGCAGGAGAATGGCGTGAACCCGGGAGGCAGAGCTTGCAGTGAGCCGAGATTACACCACTGCACTCCAGCCTGGGCGACAGAGCAAGACTCTGTCTCAAAAAAAAAAAAAAAAAAAATCATTAAAAGTACCACACAACTTTTGCCTATGTGAGTTCTAATGATCAATATTGATACACATTAGAATACCTTATTAGAAATTAAACCTGAGACCTTTGGAAAACATGTATTCATTTCAAAATAGCAATAAACCCACAACATATTAACATAAATAACAATTGTATGAAAAACGTATTTTCCAAAACAAAAAGTTTTTGGGAGAAGCGTGGCATAGTTTTACATTGTTGTAAATCTCTGGCTTAAGAGAAGCCCACTGGCCTCTCATCAGGCTCCAGTCTGTCCACTGTGGGGGTGTTTTGGTTGTGAAGTATAGGGGTGAATGGAGAATCTAAGCCTTACCCAGATGTGTATTTGAAAAGAAAAGGAACATTTTAATAACCTTTGCAAATAATTGGGATATTCTTCCTTGATCCTCTTCTAACACTGGACAGGTGGGTTTTTTTTTGTTTTTTTTTTTTGTTTTTTTGAGACGGAGTCTTGTTCTGTGGCCCAGGCTGGAGTGCAGTGGCGTGATCTCGGCTCACTGCAAGCTCCACCTACCGGGTTCCCGCCATTCTCCCTCCTCAGCCTCCCGAGTAGCTGGGACTACAGGCACCCGCCACCACGCTCGGCTAATTTTTTGCATTTTTATTAGAGATGGGATTTCACCGTGTTAGCCACGATGGTCTCGATCTCCTGACCTTGTGATCCGCCTGCCTTGGCCTCCCAACGTGCTGGGATTATAGGCGTGAGCCACCGCGCCCGGCCCATAGGTGGTGGTTTTTTACTGGCTGGTTGTGTGTGGAATCTGAAACCCTATCAGTGAACTTCCACTTCATTTCAGGAGAATCTGTTGGTCTGTCTTGTGCTTCATGGACTCTGTCCATCATGCTTCTGTGACCTCACACACTGGGCCTTTGGTTCACTAAGTTATGCGGAGATTCCAAATGCTGACACAGTTCCTCAATCAGTATTTTAAAATCACTTTTGGTGATATCACCAATCTTAGAAAAGTCTTTAAGCTGGAAAGGTGATGAGCTCATGGTGGTGGATACAGAATTTCAGAATTCTGATTTTTGCATGAAAGCTTGAATTTTATCATTGGTAACAAATGCTGTCAGCTATTTTCTTTGAATCACACAGGCTCACAGGCTCACTTTGTTCATTTTCAAAAAAAAAAACAGTCTGTCAGGACACCCAAGGCCGAACAACCAGAGTTTTTGCACATCCTTTTCTCGAGTAAAAAGTGTGCTCCATACGTGTGTTCCAGATCCAGATGGCAGCGCAGCTGCATTTCCCCAGCGTGGGCGTGGGGCAGGCGCGCCTTCCAATTGCTCAGGCAGAACATTGAAAAGACGTGGACTCCGGGGTCAAGACCTCACACATGCGACCATTTTCACTCCATCAAGGACATTTGGAAGTGACCGGCGTTTTGCACTGCAGCTGTGCGGTGTGAAAACCCCTCAGGGCTGCACCAGGGCTCGGGGCCTGCCTGCGTTCCTGCTGGGGTCTCACCACATCAGTGCACACGTCAGCTCGGTGAAGACCCCGTGAAGACCCCGTGAAGACCCCGTGATCATCAGACTATGATGAAAGCAGCTACAGCCTCAGGGACCCTTGGAGACCCACAGGCTGAGACCTGACAGCCACTGCCTGAGTGCTGGAGCGTGCGCACAGGTGACCCGAGCGAGCCTCGTCTGTCCTTGCCCGGTACCCGGAGCTGGCTCCCTGGCGATCGGTGGACACACGGGCTCCATCACACAGAGGGACCCTCCATGCCACTGGGTGGTGTCATCACAGCACGTGGGAACCGTGCCCCCAAGAGGGCCCGGAGGGACTCCCTGCTGCCTTGTAGGCACTGGGGATAGAGTCAGGTGGAAAGCAGATACACA